AATAAATAAATAAATAAATAAATAAATAAATAAATAAATAAATAAATTCTTTAAAAATACTGTAGGCTTACATTCCTCTCCTAAGTCTCTTCATTTTAGGTTATCCAAATTAAAGTATCCCTGGTGTTACATTGCATGAGCCTCTAAACATCGTAGATACCATCTTCCCGGCATTAAAGACAATAATAGTACTGATGTACTAAAGGACTGCTGTCGTAGATTTTCCCATTGTCTAGTGGATCTTCCACTCCCTTGGCTTCTCCCCAGGGTGTCATACCCATTCTGTCTGTTGTCATTTCTAGGAAGATGGTGTGCCCTGTCAAAAAACATAATGGTAGCTGATAATTGTGGGTCAAATTTTTTTTGTTTATTTGTTTTGTTGGGGCTAGAATTTTCCCTAGTTATGAATGCAACTATCTCTTTGGAAAATGAGGAATTAAATTTGTTAAAACAATGACTGCTCACTTTATCTTGCTTTCTATAAGGCTTTCTATAGAGTCGGGGGAGCATATGCTTTAGAGGAAGAAGGAAGATGCAGAGATCTGTTCCTGTCCCCAGAGAAATCCCCAGTTTCAGATGACTCCTGATTTCTAGAGCCATGATGTTGTGTGTGTGTGTGTGTGCATGTATGGTTGTATTTTTAATTTTATCAGTTCTCCTCTAATAAATCCACGTTTACTCCCATTCTGGTACGATTTCCCAGAGTAGGAGAGAAAGTTCATCTCCTCGAAGCACCCAGGGAAATATGTGGCAACCAGCAGCTCTAATGTGCCTCTGCTGTTCCAAGCACTATACATGTTATATCTCATCTAATCTTCACAGTACCTTGGGGAGGTACTATCTTTATATTCATTTTCCAGATGAGAAAACTGAGGAACAATGAAAATTAAACAATTTGGTCAAGTCACATAGTAATCAGTGATAGAATGGGGGATGGAAATGAAATTGAGAATTGCTGGCTTACAAGATTCAAAAGACTGACTCATAATAGGAACTACAAAAGTTTGGATCCATCCTAGAAAATGTATGGAATATACCTAGAGATAGGCCATGGAAGATGAAGACATCAACATGGAATAATGAGAACATTTAGTAAGGGAATTTTAACACATGGGTTTTGTCACAGTCGTACTGCTCATTACTTGATTTGGGGCAAATATCAAATAAGAAAACTGTAAAATGAGACTACTGGGCAAAGTTAAATTCTTCTCTCCAACATTCTATAGTTTCATTTGTTTGGTTTTTTTTTTGTAATGTTAAAAGTGCAAAGATTAACATGAAAATTATGCATAATCTTACGTAACCACTATGAAAATTTACATTTATAAAATTCTAGTCCTTTTTTATATCTAAATATAATGTCTTAAAATAAACACAGAATAGTCTTATATTTGCTACATACAAACTTCACAATAATTTATATATCACTTTTACACAGAAATAATGGTTTCATAGTATTTTATAATATGAACTTATTATTAACTTTTTAAAAAGTAACTTATTAGAGCCCAGAGGCCACTGTGCTGCTCCTGGAGAGAAGGCAGGCAAGCAATGCAGAGGCAGACAGTGTGGAAACAGTGATCTGAAAAACGCCTGGGACACAAAGTGGGGGAGATTACTCGCTTTTCTCAGAGAGCTTCCCTGAGAGCAGCAAGCACGGAGACCCCTCTCTGAGGACAAAGGAGCTGGCTGGTGCCATGTTCCTTCACAACGCCTCAGCATAAACACAGAACCACCTGCAGTAAACAGCACAGGTCCAACGCTGACTGCCAACCTGCTTGCACCAGGTCCCACACCCCTGTGCTCTGGCAGTACTGCCCATCTTGGCCAAGTCCCAGCTTGGCAGCCCCTTCCCCAGAAGACCAGCAGAAACTCCTATCCATACCACGTCTCCCGACCAGAGAGTTTTGCAGGGCTTCAGTTCTAATGGAAGTAGTATCAGGTCTCATTTAACAAGCAGACCAGAGCACACCTAGTTATAACTCCCCAACTCTGGCCAAGGACCAAACACTGCCCACTGCAGACAAGGGAAGCCTCTGCAGATGACTGGCCCAAAGGATAGAGCAGCCAAAACACAATAGCAGAGTGCACACAGCACACACCGGAGACACTTCCTGAAGCGCCAGGCCCTGGACACCATATGACCTCCTCTTCATAAAGCCATTACTCTCAGGAGCAGAAACATAATGGGCTTTTCCAACACACAGACGAGGGCAGAGACTTAGACAAAAATGCCAAGATGGAGGAATCCATCCTAAATGAAACAACTTAATAAGGTAATGGCCAGAGACCTAATTGAAACAAACATAATATGCCTGATGGAGAATTTAAAGCAATAATCACAAAGATACTTGCTGGGCTTGAGAAAAGAATGAAAGACTTCAGGGACTCCCTTACTGCAGAGGTAAAAGAGTTAAAAAAACAATCAAATGAAAAATGCAATAACTGAGATTCAAAACAGACTGGATGCAATGAACACAAGGATGGAAGAAGCAGAGGAATGAATAGATGATAGAGAAGATAAAATAATGAAGCTGAACAGAGGAGAGAAAGAAGAATTGTGGAACACAAGAATAAACTTAGGGAACTCAGTGACTCCATCAAATGTAATAACATTTGTATTATAGGAGTCCCAGAAAAAAAAGAGAGATAAAAGGGGGCAGAAAATTTATTTGAGGAAATAATGGCTGAAAAGTTCCCTAATCATGGAGAGGGAACAGACATTTAGATCAAGGAGGCACAGAGAACTCCCATCAACTACAAAAGCAGGCCAACACCAAGACATATTATAATTAAATTTGCAAAACATAGCAATAAAGAAAAATATCTTGGGTGCCTGGGTGGCTCAGTTGGTTAAGCGACTGCCTTCAGCTCAGGTCATGATCCTGGAGTCCTGGGATCGAGTCCCGCATCGGGCTCCCTGCTCCGCAGGGAGTCTGCTTCTCCCTCTGACCCTCTTCCCTCTCGTGCTCTCTCTCTCACTCTTTCTCTTAAATAAATAAATAAAATTAAAAAAAAAAAAGAAAAATATCTTAAAAGAAGGAAGACAGAAGAGAAGAAGTTCACAAGGGAAGACACAGTTAACAGCAGATCTCTCCACAGAAACTTGGTAGGCCAGAAGAAAGTGCCATGATATATTCAACGTGCTGAATGGGAAAAATCTGCAGCTATGAATACTCTATCTAGTGAGGCTATTATTTAGAATAGAAGGAGAGATAAAAAGTTTCCCAGACAAATTATAACTAAAGGAGTTCATGACCACTAAACCAGCCCTGCAAGAAATATTAAAGGTGACTCTTGGAGTGCAAAGGAGAGACCAAAAGTGACAAAGACAAGAAAGGAACAGACAAAATTTCCAGAACCAATGACAAAACAAGTAATAAAATGGCACTGAATACTTATCTATCATTAGTTACTCTGAATGTAAATGAACTAAATACTCTAATCAAAAGACACAGGGTGTCAGGATAGATTAAAAAAAAACAACAACAACAAGACCCATCTAAATGCTGCCTACAAGAGACTCATTTTAGACCTAAAGACACCTGCAGATTGAAAGTGAGGGGATGGCGAAATAATTATCATGTAAATGTCATGTCAAAAGAAAGCCAGAGTAGCCATACTTACATCAAACTAGATTTTACAAGACCAGTGCTCTAACCACTGAGCTATGGAGCCTTCCCGTTTCCATCAAACTAGATTTTAAACCAATGATTGTAACAAGAGATGAAGAAGGGCACTGTATCATAATAAAAGGGTCTATCCAACAAGAAGATCTAACAATTATAAATATGTATGCCCCAAACATGGAAGCACCCAGATATATAAAACAATAACAAACATAAAGAAGCTCATTGATAATAATAATAGTAGTAGACTTTAACGCCCCACTTAGAGCAATTGACAGATCATCTAAGCAGAAAATCAACAAGGAGACGGTGGCTTTGAATGACACACTGGACCAGATAGACTTAACAGATACATTCAGAACATTTCATCCTAAAGCAAAATAAACAAAAATACTGATTCAAAGGGGCACAGGCACCATGTTTGTAGCAGCATTAACAATAGCCAAATTATGGAAAGAGCCCAAATGTCCATTGACTGTTGAATGGATAAAGAAGAGGTGGCATATATACACAATGGAATATTACTCAGCCATCAAAAAAGAATGAAATTTTGCCATTTGCAATGACATAGAAGGAGCTAGAGAATTAGTGAAATAAGTCAGTCAGAGACAGACAAATACCATATGATTTCACTCATACGTGGAATTTAAGAAACAAAACAAATAAATATGGGAGGGAAAAAGAGAGAGAGGAAACCCAAGCAATAGATTCTTAACTATAGAGAACAAACTGATGGTTACCAGAGGGGAGGTGGACAGGGGGTATGAGTTAAGTAAGTGATGGGGATTAAGGAGGGCACTTGTAACAAGCAGCACCAGGTGTTGTGTGTAAGTGTTGAATCACTACATTCTACACCTAAAACCAATATTATACTGTATGTTAACTAATTGGAATTTAAATAAAAACTTGGAGAAAAAAAACAAGTACCCTATTGCTGAACCTTCAGTTGTTTCCAGAATTTTATACAAAGAGTACTATTATAATTATCATTGTATAAAAATCTTTGTGTAGAGGTCTTACTGTTTTCTCGAGAGAAATCACAGGAGATATTTTAGGGCTTTTAATACATATTGCCAAATGCTCTCCAGGAAGAGGGTAAATTTACATTCCACCAAAAAATATAGGAGGGCCCATTTTTCAGACACCCATCAACAATGAATTTATTTTTAATTTTAACCAATGTAATAATCAAAGTATTTCATTTTTTTCTTTAATTTTGAATGTCTAAATAGTAGTGAGATTGGCATGTTTTTATATATTTTTGGACTATTTCTTCTTTTGTGAAATTACTACTCTTTTGACCAGTTTTCTGTTGGAATATTTATCTTTGTCTTACAGATTTTTTATAAACTTTTTATATATTGCCATTTGTCTCATAATTTGTATTGTAGTGTTTTAATATATATGTAGAGCAGCTTTAGCTTTATGTAGTTATATCAGGCAAAAACTTATCTTGTGATTTCTGTCTTTATTTACTTTTTCTACTGTAAGATTATAAATATTCACCTCATCTAGTTCTTTTAGAATTTTAATATTTACATTTGACTAATTAATCTAAACCTTTTGTTGCTTTAAAGTATCAAGTACGATTATAGGGTTTTTTTCCCCCAAATAGACAGTCATCCCAAAATCTCAATATCTGCATTTTAAAGTGGCCCCTTCCATCTGTCAAATTATGACTCAGTGA